CGCCAATATGTAAGTCATAGCAAGACAGTGCAAAAAGCGTAAAAAAATTTAAGACATGCCAAAAACGAGAATGGGTTTATTGCGGAGCATCTTTAATTTTTACTACAAAAACAAATGATGCAGATTACCATGTAAAACTTCACGACATAGACAACCTGTACAAATAAATAACGAAACATTCTTTAAGTAATTGGTCAATAGAAGTTGTTGATGTAATGGGTATTCTATCCACAATGCAGCCCTGTCTGTAGGGCTGCCTACATACGTATTTCCTACCATTTTTTGCATGATGCTATGTAAACATACTGAAGGAATAATAACCCGACGATGTGGAAAAATCCTATACCATTGTTTATAAAGTATTTAAACAATGCCTATACGGATTATGTAAAAAAACGATTCCCAACTTATCTTCTTAAAACAAATAAAGATCTGGCTGTCATATTAATTTGAATATTGTTGCTTTGGCTTCACACCAAATATATCTCTTAAGCTCCTTTAACTGTTACCGGCACTATACCATGTGGAAATATCAACTTTTACTTTAGTTGAATATATCGCACACAAACGAAAATTAGAATACGGAAGTCAAACCGATAATAATGAAATTAATTAATATGACAGGCAGATCTACATTTGTTGTAGGTAGTTATTTTGGTTGCATAAAGTTAGGCGTCCTTCAGAAGACTTTTTATCCTATAGGAAGTCCCTATGTCTACTTCTACATGAATATGACTGTATATACATATATGTAAGCAGAAATGTAACAAAAATTAAATTAAATTTGGGAAAGACAAATCAAATTTCATTTAAGTACATCCCAAATACGAGACTATGGATCAACCACTGTACTATATATATAACTTAAATTGCACTTACAATTTCCCAGGCTCTTTAACTAACAAGGAATACAAACGAATCCATCTGGCTATATCCTGCACATTGTTACCTAGTCCCTAATGGCATGGACTAGTTATTATCTGCTACTGAGAGAGCTGCTTGGAACATCTTTTTATAACACCCCGAACTGCTTGAAGTGGGAATATAAGATTTTACAAAAGCAAGAAAATATGCATACGCATGTGTATAGTATCGGCCAAAGCAAGAAATGATATATCAAATTTAAAATACCTCGACTTTTATCTATAATTCCGTAAGTAAATAAACGTTCAATGGACCCAGCGCAATCGCATCGGCCATCGGCTATAAAATAGGCAGCAAGAAGAGTCAGTGAAGGAACACAAACTGTTCAGGAAGCAAATGAATTCGATTTTACTTCTAATTGATCTAGTTGATCTTTCCCTTCAGTGTTTCGAAATTGTTGCAACTTTTGCTACATTTCGTACAAGATAAAGACTTGATGTATGGGGGTAGGTACACCGACAATACATGCCAGCGATAAAAGAAGACATCTGCCCTTTTGTAAGAATATCATTTCTTAAATACAGTCGATTCTGCTTAATTGAACCAAACTAATAGATTAATTAATCGTTTAATTGGAACAACATTTCGCGTAATAGAGACCTCAGCCGACATGAGACTAATTAAGTATTGGTAAGTACTGACATGGCGGTAGGTTGCGTGCGTCGCCTATTTAAATTCTGAAGTCTCCTAAAATTTTGCCATTCGGTGAACATTCGGTAAATGCCGAGGTAATTTTTTTCTGGTAAATCTTTTTATGTCGACTAGCTCACCCCCATACGGGCTCGGGGCTTTGATATTAAATGGTCAGCTCGTAAGAGGTTTCATCTTGTGATCATAGTACTTACAGGTAGGTATACAGTGTGTTCCAAATCGGGTGGGATTGCATGGGTAACTTTGTTATTATTAAAGATAGAGAATGGGGAATGTTTTGCAGTTCTGGATGCTTATTTAAAATTTCCTTATGGAAATTCAAAATGTCGCATAGGTTCGACGTAAATTCAAAAAAACTAAAATTGGTCATTTCCTTGAATGTCCTATATCATCGAAAGTATAAGAGATATAAAAAACAGTTTTATATAAAAGTCTTTGATACGCTTAATTTAGAATTGATGTCAAAAAAAAATTCAAGATGGCCACTTTTGAGGAACATTTACCAACTTCCTAAAGTTAAATGGGCGCCATATTAGATTTTTAGATTACTTGATAGATTTTTAAATTCTCTTTTCAACGAACTATTATAACATAATATTGAAAATAAGATACCAGTTATATTAACGGTTTTTGTATTTTAATCAAGTAGCCTGTGACGAATAAAAAAAAACAAAACGAAATCTATTCGAGGCAACAAAACAATGAAAATAATTACACCAGATGTTTAAAATACTGGCCATTATTAGTGAAACACACTTCAAGACAGTTTAGTTTAGGCAACGTGTTGCCATTGATGATTATTATTATTGTAGTGGTAGCTACTTTCACTTTACTTTTATTTTTTAATTAAGTACTTACTTTTATAATTTAATGTACTGTACATAATTCGTGAATTGTGACCTGAGCAGCCAGTTTGTTGGTAGGTAGCATAAACTAACCCTTCCTTCGAAACATACGTTGTCGAGAAAAATCCTTTAAGGAAGTTTATTGGAGAATTTGTAAATAATGGTGAGCAGTTAAAGATCCATCGAAGATTACCGGTCCAATTACATGACTTCCCATTATGCCATAAAATACATTAATTTAAAAAAATATTACTTGATTTCGGCGTGAATCTACAACATGTAGGTTTTCCTGTGACGAGTAGTGTTCATAATGTCGATACACTTCGCAGTTAGAAAAATAAGATTTATCTGTCCATATACTCGGACTGGTAAAACTGTTAGTTTAGATATTCTTGCGGATAAACCACCTACAAAATGTGACCTGGGACAATGCTTCAATGGTAATACATTGTGTAAAATAAAGCGAAGTGTCTTGAAATGTCTTTAACTGGATAATGGCATTACTTTTTTCGAGGGAATAGTTTGTAGTTATACCACCATTTCTAGGTATGTAAGTATGGATAATAAGTCAATAAGTGATGTTATAAAAATATAATTTTTCTAGACCGCTTATATAAAATTTTGGAGGGAGTTGTAATGCCCAAACCCCCCTCTCATTATTGCGTCCCTGATTTTTTTAAACATCTGATGTAATTATTTTCATTGTTTTGTTGCCTCGAATAGATGTTGTTTTGTTTTTTTTAATTCATCACAGCCTACTTGATTAAAATATAAAAACCGTTGATATAGCTGGTATCTTATTTTCTATCTTATGTTATGATGGCTCGTTGAAAAGAGAATTAAAAAATCTATCAAGTAATCTAAAAATGCCATATGGCGCCTATTTAACTTTAGGAAGTTGGTAAATGTTCCTCAAAAATAGCCATCTTGAATTTTTTTTGACATCAATTCTAAATTAAACGTATCAAAGACAGTAACTTTTATATAAAACTTTTTGTTACATCTCTTATACTTTCGATGATATAAGACATTCAAGGAAATGACCAATTTTAGTTTTCTTGAATTTACGTCGAACCTATGCGACATTTTGAATTTCCAAAAGGAAATTTTAAATAAGCATCTAAAACTGCAAAACATTGCCCATTTAACCAATTCTCTATCCTTAATAATAACAAAGTACCCATGCAATCCTACCCGATGTGGGACACACTGTATACGCAATCCATAAATTAAACAACTCATTTTTCCATTCAACCGCAAAGTAAACTTCTAAAGTTGCTCATTGTTTTAAAAAATCGGAAGTTTCCTTACTAGTTTTCTTTGCAGCTATATTTGCTTCAGTTGTAGATGAATTTTATCAAAATCACCGTCCTAAGAACACGACATCGTCTCTCATTTTTTAAAAACTCAAGTTTTGTTGGTAGTTCTGATTACACCCGCAATATTCTGCAGTTCTCGACAGGTTCCGTAAGGTTACAGAAAAAATCATGGTCATAAATGAAAATTCAAGTTTTTACAAATTCAAATGCACCAGATTTTATCCGACAGGGAGATGCAGACACTTTTTTGTCGTATTCAAAAACAGTTCGAGGGGTTTGTTTTTAATCACACAACAAACAGTGGTTTAACAACCTGTTGTTATCGCAATGAAAAATATACCCTGTTTAATTTGGAACTTCGACGTTTAGTTCTTCATTTTCATGAAAACATTTACTTCCTCGTGTGAACATTTTTTTTCTTGACAGAATTGGATATTAAAACTTACGGGAATTAGAAAACAAAAACACTCATATAAGATTTGCACAAGAAAATAGATTAACCAATATTTCCTTCAAATAAAAAATGAAGTATGTCGGTGTTTTTCATGGCGTGCTTGAGTTTCAATGCTAAAGGGCATTAAAAATTGGCAGACTCCTCCTAAAGCTTTATGCATAGAAACGCAACAGATGTCGCCAGTCTCCCTATTCCTACAACAGTGTTAAAGCTGCTCCTGCCGTCCTTGCGACCTTGCAGTCTATTTGATGTTTTACCCTTTCGGAGAGTGGAGTTGTAATGACTATCTATAAATAGTGAATTTTTAGACTATATCCTTGTAGAACAACTGAATTGAATAGATTATAAGTAGTTCTGAGATTAGACACAAATCTCTAATGTTAATACTCACCAGACGCTTACATACCAAATGCTATCTGGAGTATATTCACATCTGTGGCTCTATCAAAGAGTGTGAACGGAAAACTCACGGAAGCTTTTGGCCTACGTGTATAGGGTGAAACGAACTGATACTAATTCGACGCACACTCTACCTCTAAGGAACCCACGTTTTTGCCCATCTCCTTCAATTATCCAATTTAATTCCCTAATTGGTTACTTCAGACTAAACTCTTGATCTATGTCTCAGTAGGTTAGTGCGGTTAGTGTCACGAGTTCAAATTGAACCGATAGTCATTTATAGGTCAACAATAATTAATTATTTATTGATAAGGGTAGCTACATTCTCGACGGTTACAAAGCAAATAGGTAAAAAGTGCCATTGTCGTTGTCGCACTTTAAAATCCAATTCGCGGTTAGTATCTGAAATAACCGTTGCGCCTTTTAGTCGGCGCTGCCGTAGTTTTCGATTTTCCGTTTTACAAACAAGAGTTTCCGTACAGTAGGTTACATTCGGTGAATCGGTGATGTGTAGTTTTTTTCCAAAAAAGCTTTACCCGAATGTCTGCACGTTTCAGTAGTATGGTAATGAAGTGAGCGATGTGAAAACTTAAAATACGGCGGTTTCGCTAAATTAAAGCAATAATTAAAAGTATTTTGATGTGCGTGTTGATTATGTATGCGCAAATATATGTAAAAATGCGTTTCTTTTACGAACACTGCACTCGCTTAACGAATTTTGAGTGTTTAGTTTTTAAAAAATAATTAACAACATGCCAAATAAATTGCGACACATCGATTCGGGTTAATTTGAAATTTAAGTGAAAAATGATCGGTAATGTTAAATGTGTTTGGTAAACTTGAAATGCACGTTTTTGTATTGCTAAGATGACAGGCATATGTAGAGCCTCTTAGTAAACCAAAATGCCCGGTGGACGTAGGGGCCTCGTGGCCCCTCAAAATACCTTCCTTGAAAACATCATTCGAAGATCCAATTCGCAACGTAAGTGAATTTTGTATTACTCCTATTTTAACAAGTTTAATCGATATAGTATTAACGACGATAGTTTGATATGTTTAGCCCAGTGTCTGAAAAGCTCTCATGACCGACAGACCACAGAAAACTTGACTTTTTGCTTCTTTGCCAAGGTTATCAGTGCAATAGTGCAATGTCTAGACATACAAGTAACTAGATCGATAATTTGCATTTTCACCACCCACAAACATTACCTAACCCATTTTCTTTTATGTTAACCATCTTATTGATCGTTTCCCATTTATAAGGTTTCTTCTACTTACAATACGGGTACCACCACTCATTGCCATACGTAGTTGCAATTGCTCGGACACATTAATGTGAAAGTCAAAAATGAGAAGACATGGTTCACTTTATTACTTCATTAAGGCATAGAATTTGCATAGGTATGCGTTACGAGATGATAAACGATAAGGACCAGTAAAAAGAAGTACGCCTATAATTTGCGGAAGCGTTTCACATTATGGATCATTGGACCAAACTTAATTTTCCTACAAATGTCTAAAACGAGGCAAATATCAGTCGTTTAAAAAGTTGAAAGGCCTGTGATCAAATATATCGAAGGTAGGGCTCACAATTCCCTTTGTGACCGTATGAAAAATGCTTGCGTGCACAATAAATACTCGTGCAACCAATTCTATAAAAGTAATTGTAAATTTCGCAATGCATTTGTGAGCGAATTAGCATTTACACATATACCAGTGAAGAACACGGACATCATAGTCTCAGCGTGGCCAAAATGTTACCAATATCGATGTGGAACTTTATGAAATCAAACACTGACTTTTTTGTAGTAAATTGTTTTACTTTTAGGGATTTCGTCATTAAAATTTTCTGTAAAAAAATGTGTCGCACGGAGAATAGTGTTCGTCTGCCAATTTCAAATCATCCTCCAATTACCCATGTATTCCACACGTTCCCAATTCCAAGAGCACCGGTTAATAATCCTCTGTGAATACCTCGAATACGTTTTCTTATATTTGGAAAGGTTAAAAACTTGGAACGATTATAGTATAATTAACAAGGCTTCTATTATTAACCTGCAAAAAAAGGCGTTAACTAGTAGTTTCAAAGGTATTTTTAAAAACATTCGTAAGAATATTTCCGAAACGGTTTTTAAAGAAACTTCTAAGGTATTTAAGACAAGAGAACATTTATCAGAAGATTTCGTACGAGCTTGCCAAAAAGACTATGTTTTTAGTAGAGTAATATCTACAGAGCCGAATTTGACCTTTATTTTGGGAGTTATTGCGTGTTCTGCTACAGATAGACGTATCAGGCCAACATTTCTGCGAGTGCTAGAACAAAAAGTAATTAGTGATTAATTAAGACCCAATTTAGTGCCTCAAGTCGAAACTCAGCTAGCTATATATATGGAAGATAAACAATACAGTTTAAGATATTTGCATTAGAAACTGTAACCCTATTGACAAATACATCGTTCACACGATTTATGATTTGCGGATATTGCCCTGTTACCTACTAGGACGTCTTCCAATAAGAAGAATAGGAAAAGGAATTTTTCTAAAAAGCCTTTTTCGGAGGGGACCTTAAAAGCGTTTTTAAGAAAATTTCAAGAAAACGTAAACACTTTCTGAATCTGCAGAGTACGTCTCTAACGAGGTCATTAAAAATATTTCTAAGGAAGTACTACAGGGACATTGATTACTATTTCCTAATGGATATTTTTGTTATTATACACTGGCATGCTCTCGGGCGTACTGTGGTACAAATTAGTTATTTATGCATCAAGGGCATTAAGGCGATATTTATGCCGAGGGCGACAGAGCCCGAGGGCCTCCGGCCCGAGGGATTGTAAGTCGCCCGAGGGTTAAATATTGAGTAATGCCTGAGGTGCATACAACATTTTATTTTTCATCATTCCAAAGAATGCATTTCCAATATACAAATGTCATGATTATTGTTTGCCCAACATTAAAGTGCTCCATACGAATCAAGTTGCATTTTTTTATGACATAATATAACTCCGTCAATCAATTTGACAGGCCATTTGAGGGCATAATGAGATGACAATCCATTATGCCCTCTCATTATGCCCTTGCGCGTAATAGACTGCTTCATATGTCACATATGACAGATATAATTGACATATAATAGGCAAATGAAAAATAAAATATTTTTTAATAAAACGCCCTGTACCTTAATATAAATTTACCTTCGTAGTGCGCATATTTTTCTGAATTAAAAAATGATCTCTAGTTTAAGCTATTGTTGAGTTATTAAACAGTTAAAATTGTGGTTATACTTCTTACTTGCTCCTTGGAAAATTATTACCAACAGGAAAGATGCAAACGCATGAAAATAAACCAGATTACGCTGTATTTATCGTAACTTTTACTATCATTTTCGATCAATAAAATGCGTCAAATTCTTAGAAAAAAGTCTGACGACCAACACTAACCATCACAAAAGTTAGGCGCACTGAAACATAAAACATCTTCGACTATAAACTGTTAGTACGTAAGTAAGAAAATTTAAATTGGTCTACAAATACGGTCACTTATTTACGAAAATGATTCATTTCAAATGTAATGAAAATAATGCCATAAAAAGAATTTTATTCTACAATATCTTATATATGAAAGAGCCAATATTCCAGCTGAAGCACGAAAGATACTGGTCAGGCAAAATGAATCCTCGGTCCTATTTATATTATGTAATTTATTCGAATAATTTCCCTTGTGTTTGGTAATAAATATTAACCTCACAGTCATAACAACCCTTCAAAATGACATGCAGTAGAAAGCTTAGAAAATAAAACAAGTTGTAAAGCAGCATATGCATGATGAAAGCGCTTTTTTGGTAATACAGATCATATTTTATTAGCAAAATCAAAATAGACTAGAGTCTGCACATCTACACTATAGCAGAAAGCTTTTAGTGGAAATTTTAAGTCCCTAGCTATTTTGTAATTGCTGAGATCTCAGCCGGACAACCAGCCAACTAGCCAGCCATAACGAATATAATAGCGTATTTTTTTTCACGACCGCCAATTAGACTAAGCCTCTAAGGCTATATATTCACTCGAGCGTTCAAATTCGTGACTCACAATTGGGATCTCCGTAACGGTTGAAGATACAGTGTAGGTTAAATGGGCGCAAAGAAGTTGCCTCTTTTTGTGACTAAAAAATGCATTAAAAATTTTTCACAAATTATTGAAAATATCTGAGATGTCTCAAAAAAACTGAAAATGGCAAATTTCGTTCTCAGATTCTCTAGCTTAAACGGTCAGAAATATAAAACCAAGTCTAAACTCCGCCTGTAGTTCAATCTTTCTGATGATTCTATATTTAAGTAACTCTAAACTACCCTAATAAAGCGATTGTTGTTAAAAAAAAGTTTATAGTGTTAGCGTTAGCTACTGGATAATTCTGGTGGGAAAGTAAGTGCTGATCACAACAGTAGAGCAGGTATCAGCGAAGGTAGCAGTAGAGTAGTAAAACGGAAAACAAACAAAGCTCCACCGATGATGAGTTAAGAAAATTAAAAAAGGGGGTTATTCTGTCAACCAGCAACGAAGAATTTGACCCGTATTTGCATAACAGAGGCTACGATGACTTACACTCACTTACATACACTTAAACATTCAAAGGTCGCCTGTCATACATTCAAAATCTACGCTATAATGCAAGAAGAATTAAGCCCTTACAAAAATTCTCCGAAATACTCCCTTTTCCCCACCAACATTCTCCAGATAATCACAATTGAGTTTTTACATAGCCAGCAAATGTGTCTCGTCTAGACTCGTCGTGACCTGGAATTTACAATGGTCTACTGGAGCAGTTTTTTGTGTTTCTGTTAACCAAAGTTAAAAGATATTTTTATCGAGTTTTGGTCAAAATCAGCTCATGAGTTTTATGTAAAATAAACATAAGATAGAGTAGTGTCTCTAGTTTGCTTATGTTATGTCTATGGATAGACAAGACAAAGAAGCAGATATTTACAAGTAATTTAACGACTTAGTTGACTTAGTGACTGTTTCCACCACTTTTTTTTCTAGGAAGACATCGTCAAACGTACGCGGATAAGCTTCTACTTTTAATTTCCTTTTTCTAAACAAAACTCACTTGTAATCAACAAATACCTATACAAAGAAACTGAGTATGATTGTGACCTCTACGTCACTTGCTAAACAAAACCAAAACTTGAAGTGAATATATAAACTGTATTTTTCCCCCCAAATCTGCCACCCCTAAAATTCGTTCTAGGCGTGCGCCTAATCCGCACCTTATGGGAAATACACCCCTGACCAGCCTCGTCGCATGTTCTTTAGAACTTTCAGCTTGATGTCCAGCATGCATCGCAATACCGCATCTGTAATAAAAAAAAGAATTAGAATCACTGCAACAGAATAGGAACGAAAACAAAATAACTGAAGTAATGAGGAAATAGTACTTTGTGTACCAAGGCGGGAAAGTGGATGTTTTCCGGGGCTAGTCGATAAAACATCTACAAAGCGACAGTTTCACACAGATCCTTTTTTCGTCAAACTTTTTACTGTACATACCGACACAAAGGTCGGATTAAATCATGAGCGACACTAACATTGTACTTAGTACAAAAATTTGCAACGTTAGCAGAAAATTAAAAAAATTGGGATAACCTTCAAAAGGCTATGGTTTGCTAGCGAACTTTTTACAGCACAAACCAGAAGGGAACAAGAAGGTGACATAATAGAATAGGTAAAGTATTGAGGGAAATAAATTTCTCCTTTCACCACCCACTACCACACACACATTTCCCACTCGCAGATCCACCCTCAGTTTGACGTGCAGCATAAGGTGTAATTCTCGAATCTGCAATTCTAAGAAACAAAAATTATAAATAGGACACAAAAAGTAAGATAGTTAAAATTTTCAAAAAAATAATTTCTAGGAATGGGCACGAACTCCGACTCGGCTTGAGGCCTAGGCGCCTCGTCCGTAAAACTTCCGACTTGTCAGCGA